TTTTTGTCCAAGTTGAGCAAGAGTACCCATGATCAATTTGGCTGACCCAGAAATGCCTAGGACATTCACTGACTGCATATTACACCTTCATTATATTTTGTTTAAGTCTCGCCCATTTGCCCCCTGTATCTTCAATAGTAGTGTTCATGCTACACAAAGTACGGGCTAAGATTTAAGCTAATCTCATATGTTTGAGTTCATGCACAGAAGGAAACAATGGTTAGCACGGGGTAAGGAACGCCCAAACTTATTAAGAATAGGCAAAATCTTCAGAAATTTTAACTATGAGTGCTCAGTAAGAGTAAGTAGGAAGGTTACTTCTACAGTTATAAAACAATACCAAAGCAAATTCAGAAAGTGCAAATTGCAGAATAACAGGAAGTAGCACAGTATCTCATCGTCGGTACATTTTTTCTTGAGTCAATCTCTCTATAGTTGCGTTCACGCACAGCTCCTTAGCACGGGCTAAGAGGTCAAATTCCTTAGCCCGTGCTAAGAAAACGTGCGTGAACGCTTAGCACGGGCTAAGGAATGCTAAGTACGGGTTAAATCTGATCCGAATTTAAGACGCGGTCTAGACCTTAGCACGGGCTAACGAAGTATGCGCGAACGCTTAGCCCAGGGCTAAGCGCCCTCTGCGGCGACCTTTGGGTGTGAAAATTGTCCCATGTTCGTATAACGACACTATTCCACCAGTCATAACTCCGCGCTCACTTCCACACTAATCGGGTCACTGTAGTAGAGCGTACAGCAGCTCCAATCGTAGACAAAATAAATTTGGTTCGCTGTCTACGACATGCATTAATAAAACGCTGTATTCTGTTACGCCCGTTGTATACTGTTTATGTGCATCCAAAATAAGTCTTCTCTCGCGTTCCTGTGCACGTCGCTTCAAAATTAGAACGAAACATGCCAGCAGCAGAAATAGAACCTCGCGCGTGTCATTCATTTTTCGTTCGTAAATAGCAGCTTACCAAAGGTCACCGACTAATGGCACCCCTTTAGCCCGTGCTAACGACTGGCCCTCCCTTTGCGTGGACGCAATTGGGTCTAGCCGAAATGCAAATATGCTAGATAAGCCTAAATCAGCTTAAATCTTAGCCCGTACTTCGTGTAACGTGAACACAACTTATATGTGTTAGCGTTGATTGTCATGCAGGAAATGGCACACCAAAATAAAAAGTTATGAATATAGTAGTAAATCTACTAAATGAACATTAAATACAATGTTTTTTTTAGCCGAGCTAAGCGTTCATGCATGTTTTGTTTTGCCTGTGCTAAGGCTTTGGACCAACCAGATTTACTCTGTACCTAGTATTTCTTAGCCTGTATTCATGCACATTTTTTTAGCACAGGGTAACGTATTGGACCTCTTAGCCTTTGCTAAAGAGCTCTACGTGAATCTACGAATAAGTGTCTTCTGTTTATTCCTACCTTAGATGCATACATTAAGGTTCACTTCCCCTTTATATTGATC